TTTTTTTTTTTTTTTTTTTTTTTTTTTTTTTTTTTTTTTTTTTTTTTTTTTTTTTTTTTTTACAATTTATTTTTCTTAAAAATCATTTGCAAAAGTTATCTTGAATTATAAGAGTAATTAGAATTTATTGGTAATGAGATATGAATTAATTGAATTATTGGGATTAGTTACTTCAGTACTTTGAAGGGGAGATATTTAGAATTTTTCTCTTTTTTAAAGTTTGTCTTTATTGATTGAGTTGTGTTAGATGGATAAGTGACTAGATAAACTATGCTTAAATTGATTGATTGAGTTGTGTTTGATCACAAGAGACTAGATGAGTTATGCTTAAATTGATTGATTGAATTGTGTTAGATCGACAAGTGACTAGATGAACTATGCTTAAATTGATTGATTGAGCTGTGTTAGATCGACAAGTGACTAGATGAACTATGCTTAAATTGATTGATTGAGTTGTGTTAAATCGACATGTGACTAAATGAGCTATGCTTATATCGATTAATTAAGTTGTGTTAGATCGACAAGTGACTAGATGAACTATGCTTAAATTGATTGATTGAGTTGTGTTAGATCGACAGGTGACTAGATGAGCTATGCTTAAATTAATTGACTGAGTTGTATTAGATCGACAAGTGACTAGATGAGCTATGCTTAAATTGATTGATTGAGTTGTCTTAGATCAACTGATGAACTATGCTTAAATTGAAAAATATGCATTGATTGATGTCATATTGGTTGGAATATGATAGCACACCGACTAATTGTTCTAGGTTTCTCGGTTTAAACTGTTTAGTATAACAATTACCTTCATCTCTAACAATCTTTTCGATTTGAACTACTTATACTTTCATCTAGGTGGTCGAAAAAGTTCCTAATATTAAGATCGCTTAACAACACAGAGCAAGATTAGAAGAGAGAAAATTTAATTGAAAACACTATCTAATGGGATATATATATAATTTCCGTTTATAAGCATCAGGCTTCATATCCCAACACCTAATATAAGTGAAGGCAACCACCTCACAGTCTGTAACAACCCATGCCAATATTTAAAATTTGGATTTGATGCCTAGTGGTCTCAACATTCTTGTGCATCCCCTACGACATAGTGAGGTTACTTAATTGGAGTACACATCTTATCGTAAGATAGAACGCCTCCAAATTTATACTAGTCATTTCATAAAATTGACCTAAAAATTAAAGGTAATTAATTACCATGTCTATTGTCAAACCTTCCCACCTCCCCACCTTGTTAGTCGTTATCACTCATTTCATACACCATCAAAACATCGACACGTGAGACATTATTCATAACAAATAAGAAGTAAGTACAAGCAAGGAAATAGAATCTATCTACTAAAAATCTGGATGGATTTCTAATCGTCCCAGTCAGATTAGGTTTCTAGTTCACGATCTAGGTAAAGCTAGTTATAAGAACCAACCAAGATCTATGCATTTCCTATCAAGAACGAGAAGAAAATTATGAAATTTGACCCAAATCTATGCACACCAAACGAGAAATCTATGATGGTCGGATCAATGAAATAAAAGATGGTGTAAAAAAAACTTGGTTTATTAAGCAATTAATTTGTTAGGTGAAAAGTGGGTGAAAAATTGAAGTTTTTTTCTACATTATTGAATTATGGGCATAGAAATAATCTTATCCTATGCTTATATCATCATCATTAGCAAGGGTTAAAAAATTTCCACTCTTCTACACTCTAACACCAATCTCCCACACATTCCTGTCCGAAAACTTGTGACTTAGTATGCTTGAAGAGAGGAACGAAACATTTCTTATTGGAATGAAAACCTCTCTCTAACAAACACATTTCAAAATCATGAGACTGACGACCATATGTAACGGGCCAAAACGGATAATATCTTTTAGTGGTGGGTTTGAACTATTACAAAGATCTGCCCACAACGACCATGCCACCACCGACACTTCAGCCACCACACTCTTTGTCGTCAAGTTCCATCTAGGACAGCTCAAGATTTTTACTTGGGAGTACTATGACACTATCTTTCCTTAAGCTTATAGTTTGTAGTTCATCGTCAATACATCTTCGATCATCTTTGGCCTCGTTATAAAATAGGCCAGGGTCAGTCTTACCTAAGATATACATTCGATAATGACTTACATAACAGATCCCGAGATGGATAATATCATTCAAAAGATCCCTTTTGCATAAGGAAAAAAAAAAAAAAAAAACCCATCTCACCTTCACTTCTTTACCATTCATAATCTTTGTCTCTTACTTTAACAAATCTCTCATTCGTTTTGCCACTTTGATCCACAACTCTTTTTCATTCGTTCATAATCTTTACTTTCCCAAACTAATCCCTAATTCGTAAACCTTAAACCCTTTTTAAACGCTCCAAACTCACTCATAATCCCATGTTTTTGAAGTTCTTAAAGCTATGACAACTTTTTCTCTCAATCTCGTCCTTTTCTTCTCTTTCCCGTTCATTTCTTGTAAGCATTTCTTAGCGGACGCAGAAGTTTCCAACAAAATTGGAATCAACTATGGCCAACTTGGGAGCAACCTTCCACCTCCAAAGGTTGCCATTGAAATGATCAAATCCATGAAAGCCGGCAGAGTGAAGCTCTATGATGCTAACCATGAAATCTTGAGCCTTTTGTCAGGGACAAAGATTCAAGTTTCAATTATGATACCCAATAATGAAATTTCAGACATTGCCAACAACCAGACAAGAGCTGACCAATGGGTTCTAGACAACGTTGTCCCTTTTTATCCTGGTACCATGATTCGCTTTATTCTTGTCGGTAATGAAGTTTTGAGCTATGATTCTTATGGGGATCGTCTAGTTTGGAATGACCTTGTGCCGGCCATGAGAAGGGTTTGGCGATCCCTTGTAGCTTTGAACTTGCAGATCATTAGAGTTGGAACTCCGGTGGCTATGGACGTTTTGGAGACTGCGTTTCCGCCCTCTAGAGGGATGTTTAGATCAGATATTCGGTGGACCATGGTGGCTCCGATGTTGGAGTTCTTGGATGAGTCGAGGTTAGTTATGTTGGTAGGTTATGGTAAATTTAATTTTAAAAAACAATTTTTCTAATGCTTAAGATTCTACTTAAAAAATTTAAATTTTGAAAAACATGGAATACTTACGTTTATTGAGAGATGTCCATTTAATTCATAGAGTATCTTAGTAACAATAAAAAATGAGAGATGAAATGTAGAGAGATTTTTCTTTATTAGCTAATCAAGAATCACGGCTAGAGACAGAGATTATATTCGTCCCCATCTCGACTTTAGTATGTAAAACTACGTTATAATATTGAAATTTTCGTATTGTCTTTTTGGACTTTTCTTTTCGGGTTTTCCCTCAAGGTTTTTAAAACACGTATGCTTAGGAGAGGTTTCTACACCCTTGTAAAGAATGCTTCGTTCCCCTCTCGAACTGATGTGAGATCTCACAATCCACCCCTTGAAGGCCCTGAGTTCTCGTTGACACTCGTTCCCCTCTTTAATTGATATCATTCCCCTCTCCTATCGATGTGAGATCTCACAATCCACCCTCTTTTGGGGCCCAACGTCTTTGCTGGCACACCGCCCGATATCCTCCCCCTTTGAGGCCCATCGTCTTCGTTGGCACATCGCCTGTGTCTACTCCCTTCGAGACTCGACGTTCTCGTTGACACTCATTCCCCTCTCCAATCACTGTCGTTCCCCTCTTCAATTAATATGAGATCTCTTAAAAATGATGTTCTAACATTATATTATAATTTTATATTTGTAACAGGTCTTCCTTGTTCATCAATGCATATCCATATTTTCCGTGGTCAGCAAACCCCATGGATATCAACTTAGATTTTGCCCTTTTCAATGGAAACCTTGAACAGATCGACAGGGGAAGTGGGCTTGTTTATACTAATCTTTTGGATGAAATGCTTGATTCTTTCATCTTTGCAATGGCTAAACTTGGCTACCCAAATATTCGGCTCGTCATATCGGAGACCGGGTGGCCGACCGCCGGAGATATCGAACAACCAGGTACTAAAACTACCACTGAACTCAAAAGCTTAAGATTATTAATTTCAACATATTCAATCATATATCCGTATCGTTTACCCTAGGCGCCAATCTCCTTAATGCGGCGACCTATAATCGAAATCTAGTAAAGAGGGTAATGACGAAGCCGACATTAGGAACACCGGCGAGACCAGGGGTGGTGATACCGACGTTCATATTTTCTTTGTTCGACGAGAACCAAAAGCCAGGGCCGGGGACGGAGCGACATTGGGGGCTGTTGAGGTTCGACGGTAGTCCAAACTACCAAATCGACTTGACAGGAAAGAAACCATCGGTTGATTATGATCCTCTACCGGTGGTGGAGAACAATGTGCCGTTTCGGGGGAGACTGTGGTGCGTGGCGGCGAGAGGGGTGGATCCGATGGAGCTGCAGGCAGCAATAACGGAGGTGTGCGGCGGAGGAGACGGGAGTTGTGAGGTGCTGTGGCCGGGGAGGGAGTGCTATGAGCCGGTATCGGTTTATTGGCATGCAAGCTATGCTTTTAGTTCATATTGGTCGAAGTTTAGGAGCCAAGGAGCAAGCTGCCATTTCAATGGACTTGCTCAAGAGACAACAATTGATCCGAGTGAGCACAATTCTGTTCGATGAAAATTGTTAATATTTTGAATATAAAATACTAAATATGTTTAAAAAACAATTTTTTTAACTTTCAAAATTTCATTAACATCCTTAGACTTATAGTTTTTTTTTCTTGGTAATACGATTAAATTGGACTAATTTCATAATTTTATTGACAGGTAACGGTTCGTGCAGGTTCCCGAGTGTGACTTTCTAAAGGGGACTATTTTTCCTTTTTCTTTTCATTGTTGCTCGAACTCATCCTACTTATATATGGACTCATTTCTCCACTCTCTTAATATTGATATGACTTGTTTGAAGGTTTAAGAATGGTTCACGTATGCATGCTGCATAGAGCGACTGACGTTTTTTAAAAAATAATTTAAAAAGAAGTTGCCATCGTTCTTTTTCATGGTATATTAGATATTAAAATGAGATAATCAGAGGTAAGAACAGATACCATATTCGAATGAGAGCATAAGAACTCTATAATAAAATTGAAAAGATTTGGGTTGGTTTGTGAAAATAGTTTTTAAAAATAAGGAACAAGTAATGTGATCATATAACTGAGAATGATTCAAATCGTGGCACTCATAATCATTGATTCATAACACTAAATCCACTTATTTGTCCTTAAAAAAAAATCCACTTTGAAGGTACAACCTCAATAAAGTTAGGGTTTGTGAGTGGTCATTTGGTAGTGTCATTGGACTTGACTTTGATGATGAATATCACTAATTTCTGCTAAAGCAGGTCATCATTCATTTGAGCAATACCATTCATTGTGGATACTACTCCTCATGATATCAAACCTTTGATGCTTGAGTAAATAACGTCTGCTTTAGTCTATTACATATTACCATTAGTTTCATGATTTCAAAACGCGTTTACTAGTGAGAGATTTTCACATCCTTATAAAGAATGTTGCGTTCCTCTCTTCAAGAGATGTAGGACCTGGTATTTTTATAAAGAATGTTGCGTTCCTCTCTTCAAAAGATGTAGGATCTGGTATTTGAATCTAATATCATTTGTAATATCTCAAACCTATCGCACACAGATATTGTTTGCTTTAGTCATTATGTATCGTCGTCAGTCTCATAGTTTTAAAACATGTTTACTGGGGGGTGATTTTCACACTCTTATAAAGAATTCTTCGTTCCCCTCTCCAATCGATGTAGGACCTCACAACCCAATGCCCATGATTCGAACTAAAATTTAGAATCTAAATTTGATACTTGATGACTCTAACAAACCCTAAACCCTAAACCACATTATCTACTTGTCTTGAACAAAGTGTCTTTAGGAGTAAAGATTATTCTCATAGACCAACACATGTTCTTTCAGTATGTTTTGTTTTCACTCATATGTCTCATAAATTTTTTTTTAGGAAGTCATCCGACATACAATTGTTTCAAGAGACACATATCTAACTTTAAACGTCATGTAATTAAGCCACCGAAAAGAAATATGTCGAAAATGCAATGAAGCGAGTTGACGTCAAAGTATAATAGTTCATGCGTCATATATATGAACTATCATATATATATATAGAGTGTAATAAATGGTAAATTATCTTTAATTATTAAAATATAATTTGAACATCATTACTTCAACGTGGATTATTAATTAGAAAAGAATATGGCCGACATGTCGAGATGGAAGATGATGGTTTAGTCACTCTAAGATAGTGCTTCTTTCCCATTTAAGTTTTGATTTTTATTTTGTATCACAAATTTTATATTTTTTTAATTCCTAAAAAATGCAACGGCTCAAACCGGGCTAGTATCAGTTGTTCTCTTTAAGCTTTCCATCAAGCTTTTAAAACGCGTATGTTAGGGTAAGGTTTCCACGTCTTTATGAAGGGTGTTTTGTTCTCCTTCCTAATCAACGTGGGATATCACAAACATTGTTTTTAAAATACTCCAAAAAAATATTTATAAAATTTTAAAAGTAGCATTAATGTAAAAACGAAACTCTAATCTCTTGATTGAAAATATATATCTTAAACTGTGAATGTTTGATTAATCCACCATACCTAAATGATGTGAAAGTTATCTTATTTATAATCAAATAAATTACAAGGATATGGAAATAGTAATAAATGGAAATAACAATAAATGGAAAGATACCTATGATAATAAGGCAAATATTAGATATTTGCCTTATAATAAAATATCAATATAATATATATGTTAAACTATAATTTATTACTAAATATCTTTAACACCCCACTGCAAGCTAAGTGTCGGATTTAAACGAATGTGAAGCTTGAATCTGAAAAATTCAAATATCAAATATAATTTATTACTAAATATCCTTAACACTTTTCATGAAGATGCTAACAACCCGGTTCTTGGCCATCAAAAATTTGCAGAGGGATCGCCGCTCAGCGGCGATGCTGCCTTGGCTTCGGCGAGAATATGTCTAACCCATGAAGAGGGATTGTCGCTTAGCGACGATGCTGCCTTGGCTCTGGTGAGAATATTTCTAACCCCAAGAAGTAGAAGGGGAAACCTAGAGCAAGGGACAAAGACAATGTTGAAGCCGGAAGAGTCGCCACATTGGGCGAAGGAGCCAATTTTGGCGAGAAGGGCAGTCGGAAGAGTCGCCTCATCGGGCGAAGAAGCCAATTTTGGCAGGAAGGGCGGCGGCAACTTGGTTGGCGAATAGGCTAGTGCGGCACCCAGATTCCGAAGGTAAATCTCTGCAAAAGGTTGATAGGTTTAGGTTAGGGTTTATGTGAAGGATGAAGGTTGATTGGGAAGAAAATGAGAGAGACTATATTGGCCAAGGGGAAAACCGATTGGGTTGGAAAAGGTGAGGTTGTATGTACAGAGTATGACGAAAGGTGATTTGGAGGTCAATAGGGTGGAGCCGAAGAGTAATCAATCGGCTCCGACTACGGCAGCCATGAAGACTGCCCCTGCGGCGTCAAAACCAGCAGGGGTGGTGGAGAAGAAGATTAGAGGATTCAAAAGCCATTGAAAAGAAAGGATCAGGGTTGTTAAACCGAAAGGGCTCTGATACCCTGTGAATGTTTGATTAATCCACCACACCTAAATGATGTGAAAGTTATCTTATTTATAATCAAATAAATTACAAGGATATGGAAATAGTAATAAATGGAAATAACAATAAATGGAAAGATACCTATGATAATAAGGCAAATATTAGATATTTGCCTTATAATAAAATATCAATATAATATATATGTTAAACTATAATTTATTACTAAATATCTTTAACACCCCACTGCAAGCTAAGTGTCGGATTTAAACGAATGTGAAGCTTGAATCTGAAAAATTCAAATATCAAATATAATTTATTACTAAATATCCTTAACACTTTTCATGAAGATGCTAACAACCCGGTTCTTGGCCATCAAAAATTTGCAGAGGGATCGCCGCTCAGCGGCGATGCTACCTTGGCTTCGGCGAGAATATGTCTAACCCATGAAGAGGGATTGTCGCTTAGCGACGATGCTGCCTTGGCTCTGGTGAGAATATTTCTAACCCCAAGAAGTAGAAGGGGAAACCTAGAGCAAGGGACAAAGACAATGTTGAAGCCGGAAGAGTCGCCACATTGGGCGAAGGAGCCAATTTTGGCGAGAAGGGCAGTCGGAAGAGTCGCCTCATCGGGCGAAGAAGCCAATTTTGGCAGGAAGGGCGGCGGCAACTTGGTTGGCGAATAGGCTAGTGCGGCACCCAGATTCCGAAGGTAAATCTCTGCAAAAGGTTGATAGGTTTAGGTTAGGGTTTATGTGAAGGATGAAGGTTGATTGGGAAGAAAATGAGAGAGACTATATTGGCCAAGGGGAAAACCGATTGGGTTGGAAAAGGTGAGGTTGTATGTACAGAGTATGACGAAAGGTGATTTGGAGGTCAATAGGGTGGAGCCGAAGAGTAATCAATCGGCTCCGACTACGGCAGCCATGAAGACTGCCCCTGCGGCGTCAAAACCAGCAGGGGTGGTGGAGAAGAAGATTAGAGGATTCAAAAGTCATTGAAAAGAAAGGATCAGGGTTGTTAAACCGAAAAGGCTCTGATACCATGTGAATGTTTGATTAATCCACCACACCTAAATGATGTGAAAGTTATCTTATTTATAATCAAATAAATTACAAGGATATGAAAATAGTAATAAATGGAAATAACAATAAATGGAAAGATACCTATAATAATAAGGCAAATATTAGACATTTGCCTTATAATAAAATATCAAATATAATATATATGATAAACTATAATTTATTACTAAATATCCTTAACATAAACAATCGAGTCAAACTCGACGCTGATAGAAAGCCAAAAGTCTACCTGCTCAAACAACAAAACTCTAATCTCTTAATTGAGTATATACCTTAAACAATTGAGGTACGCTTTACGCTCGTAGAAAATTGAGAGTTTTCTCGGCATGCTCGTTGACAATAAATTAAAAAAAAAAGAAAATTAATCTCACGTTCTAACCTCACAATTCTCATCAATAATGTCATTTTCTTGATCCAATTAAAAGCATCCATAATGATAGTTTCCACTACTTAAAGTTGCCTTTTCCTCTTCCTTTCTACAATTCATATAAATTTAGTGTAAAAAACACAAGAAGTAATTAAGAACACCAAAGACATGGAAGGAAGCTCAAGCCATTCAAGCCTCAACCTCGTCCTCGGCCTTCTATATCTATTGATTTTTACTAACGTCGTCGTTGTCGTCGCAGTCGATAGCTCAATAAGCCTGTGCAATGGTTCGATAGCGGAGTGCTATAAAGAGGTTGAGACGTTGATGGAGTCGGAGATAACTCGGAGGTTTCTTGGACAAGTTAATGAATTAACCTATAAATTTTTGGATAAAGACAAAGCACCTTGTGCTAATGGTAGAGGTAAACCTTACTTTGTAAAGTGTCAGCCTCGTGAAGCTAATCATTATGACAGGAGATGCAGCGGAACGTATAATCGATGTAAATTTTCATAGTCTTAGCCTTAGCTCACAAACTCACTTATTTTTCATGTTTCATTGATTTGAATCATGAACTTAGGCCATGAGTTCGATGAAACGATCGTTTTCTTTTTCTTCATTTAGAATATTATATTGCAGATAAGAACAAAAATTTGAATCTATCATTTTCTAGAAAAAGTAGTAATGATTTAGATTACTTATTTATGCTCGGGTTAAACTTTACCAATAATCGTAGTTTTTTTTTGGGTTTTATTTTCCTCTGTTTGGATATTTTAGTTTGAGTCGAGTTGAGGTGTTTTTGCACCTTCTTGGTTTTCTATCGAGCTTTGATATTACGTGTTTTTGTTGGTTGAATCTTTGAATGTTTTCATTTCTTGTTTGGTGAAGATTTTTCTAATTTAGTTAGAAAAAGGTATGGAAAACTTAACGTTTAATATGATAAAATTAAAAGTGTAGGCTTTCGAGTAAATATCAATTTTACTCAAATTTTATACACCATAAGTTAAACAAACCTATGAGTTTCTTGAATATCGTAACCTAAATTATCTCTCAGGTCATCAATCGTAATCATATTGAGGTTAGGACTCAGACATCGACTCTAAGTTTATCGAAACTAAAAGAGTTTTATAGTTTAGTTAACTCATCTGTGTTCATAATAAGGTTTTCATTCTCGAGTAACATATCATCAAACCTCTTTAAGCCTATCATAATCATCGATAAATGACCCGATTATCCTCTGTTTATTAACTTTATCTAAGTCATTGAACAATAAAACTTTAAATTCCTAAATTATATGTATTGAATCACACTATCAATAAAGAAGAAGCAAATGTGGCCCCGACAAAGAAATGGACATGGACTTATTATTTGTAATGGCCCAAGTGGCCCATTACGTATTATACACCGCCCGATGTCTAGCCCAAGTGGCACGTTGCTATATTTTCTAGCATCCTGTGTCTGACTCTGATATCATTTGTAACAACTCAAGCTTACCGCTATCAGATATTGTTCTCTTTGAGCTTTCATTTTCGGACTTCCCTTTAAGGTTTTAAAACGCATCTATTAAGGAGAGATTTTCATATCCTTATAACAAATACTTAGTTCCCCTCTCCAACAAATACGAGATCTCACAATATTATATCCCACCTTGGAAGTATGCAATTTAAAATAATTCTTTCTCTTTTCTCCGTTTATTTTCACATCAATTCCCGTAGTATTTAAGATTTAGTTTTCACCTAAACTTTTTCCTTTTTTAAAACGTACTGAAAAGTTTAACATTATATTCGAATTTTTATAAACATTTCAAAACTATATCCCTGAAATAGAAATCCGTTAGAACTTAGACTGATAAAGTTTAGGGGCATCTGTTTTGTAATTTACCCTTTAATTTAATTAAACTTTTCTTCCTTAGTTTTATACCTTGGCAAACAAATATCAATAATATGATTATTATTTTATTTAAGCATAAGAGTAGATTTTCATCCATTCTCCCAACTTATGATACCATAGGACAAGTTCACGAGTATTAAACATAAGATTGGTACTTAAAAAGGCCATTTGATACCTCATAGCAACCCCCAAAAGGTCACAAAGCCTAAGCAGCCACAGAACTCAAAAGTGCTTCTTGATTACTTTCCATTTTCACAAGGTGAGCTCCAAGATCTTTTGCGACATCAACACAGAGTTGCATGACGCTGTTTTCATATGAGTTTGGAATTAATTTGTCATGTTTTTTCTCATATTCTAAAGTCAAATGAACCACACTTTTCTCCTTTCCCTTTGGAATGCCTTGCATAGTAACTTTGAAGCTCTTATGATCCTTCAAAATATCTCCCTCTAACACTTTGAAAGTTACCAAATTATTCTCCTCGTCAATCGCTTCGATCAACTCCTTTGAAATGCATGCCTTCCCATCTACAAATTTGATTCAAATCACTTAAACAACATGTTTGAAAGAAATTTTGAAAGGATTAAAATCACTTCGAATCAAAATTGAAAGTAAACCATGAACAAAGTTCCATAGAAGAACAGATCCGAGTTTGCCCCATTCGCCTTCGAGTAGTTTGCAGCTTTGTAAATTGTTTGGACTGGCATTGCACATGTGGTAAGGTCTTGCATGAAATGTTTGGTGAAGCTTTGAAGCTGGAGAGATGATTTCTACCTCAGCCTCTAACTTTTCAAGGCAACCCATTATCTTGAATGAAATGCCAAGCATGTCTCTTCTTTCCCTATTTAAAGAAAGAGTTTGCTCTCGCATGAGGTAACGTTCGATACCACGTGTCATATTATTATTGGGTGTGGGTTTTAGATTTTTGTTCGCACGTTGGATTAATTTTTTAAAAAATTATGAACACGTTAACTTCAAGAATCTATTAGACTTTTTATAAGAATTTATGATTTGACCTAAAGTTGAGGAGAAAATAGCTGCTGAATTCGGTGTGAGCTAACATAGAAGAAGAAGGAATTAGACTATGACAATCGAGTGAAGGAAAAGTATATGAATGAACTAAGACTATATTTGAATAAGAGCGATTGAACTAATAGAGAGCGATTTTAAGGATAAGATAAATAAGAAAAACTTAAAAGAATCGAAAATCAATATCTATACTAACAAGATACACATTAAGTATACTGAAAAGAAGTGAAACATATTGAAAACTCCAAAGTTAAGCATACTGAAAAAAACCCAGGTTGATTTGTGGGAATAATTCATTCGTAGAACCAAAAGTAAGGAATGTGACTATGTTGCAGAGAATGTAGAAAAAATGTAGGAGTCATCAGGTATCAAATCTGAATTCTGAATATTAATCTGAATCTCGAACCTCGAGCCTACATGAGATTGTTTCTAAAAGAAGTGAAGGAACAAAGGAAGATTTTTTTTTTTTTTTGTATCGAAATAAAGAAAGTGCGAGATCTCATATCGATTGGTGAAAAGAACAAAACATTCTTTATAAGGGCGTGAAACACCTTCTTACCAGACGCGTTTTAAAAATGAAGGAAAGTCTGAAATAAAAAACTCAAATAAGACAATATCTACTAGCAGTGAACTTGTGCTCTTACGAATCATGTTACATCGTGGGAAAAGTTGGAATGATAGAAAAGAAAAAGCATAGAATAGTTTGAGTGGGTATGGTTGAGGGGATAATGCAATGCATCCAGCTAAGGTTTTGGTTGTCTTTATTGTATTCTTCTAATCTCCATTGAGTTTCAACATCAATCTTCATCATCTTCCTACAGATACTTTCTATTCTCTTTTCTTGCCCTTATCTTCTTTTTTTAACCCTTTTCACGTTCTTATCTCATGTTCTTATGATGTATTTACTATGTCATTGAGCCTTCGGTTGGACCGAGGATATTAAAATTGAAACAGGCATTTATAAATGCATCATGTATTAAAATTGATGTTTTCTATTTGTGGGATGAAATTTATAGGTATGATTCACATAAGTGATTTTTCTTCTTTTTACGAAACTTTTGCCGTCCTTATGACGTTAAAGTCTTTAGTGTGGAGTTAGTGCGTATGAAAATGTACGATTAATATATAGTGAGATCCCACATCGGTTGGGGAGGAGAACGAAACATTCTTTATAAGGGTGTGAAAATTTCTCTCTACGAGAGCCGTTTTAAAAACTTTGAGGGGAAACTTAAGAGAGAAAGTACAAAGAGGACAATATCTACTAGTAATGAGCTTGAACTGTTAAAAATGATATCAGAGTCAAACACTTGAATATAGAAATGGTAAAAAGGGAACAAGTGCTAGCGAAGATACTAAGCCCTTATGTTGGGGGTGGATTGTTTAAACATTATTTACAAGAGTGTGGAAACCTCTCCCTAATGTATGCATTTTAAAAACCTTGATAAGAACTTGGTGGGTTCGATGTGTACAAAAATGATGAATATAGAACTATACATACGAACATTTTAAGCATATGAAAAGAACTAAAATCTAAAGCCTAATATACATTTTAAGCATATAAAAATAACTATTTAGATTTCGTTATGGAAGATATTTAGATCTTACTAGTAATAAACGTTTGTTGACAATGAGGCATATAGATCGGATCTAACTTAAATTATTTTACACAAGATTATTTTATAGAACACAAGCATTTAGAAACTTGGAATATATTTCTTCCACTTATTACAACACATAGAACAGGACCCAAACATAACACACATACATATGCCTTATTTAAATGGAATTATACATAGACAAATGGCAAATTATTTATACGTATAGTACCATAGAACTTAGTGCAGCAACATGGCTAGGGTTCTTCACTGCCTTCCATAAGGTGAGCATCAATGTCTTTAGACACATCAACACAAAACTGAAGCATAGAATGTGAATCAGGGATCTCATCATGCAGCTTTTCATATTCTAAAACCCAATGAATCACACTTCCCTTCTCCTTTGGAATGCATTGGATATTAAACTTGAAGCTCTTGTATTTCTCTGTAAGATCTCCCTCGATCACGGCGAAAGTGATCGAGTTGTTCTCTTCGTCGACTGCTTCAATTCTCTCCTTTGCTACTCTAGCTTTCCCATCTGCAAGTTTTCGTCTAAAAATATTATCTTTTTAAGCACTTGATAAGTCATTCTAAATAAACCCTTAAAATAAAATGGTCGAAAAAATTAAAAAAATGATAAACCATGAAAATATCTCCAACAGATGATTGAGCCAACTTTGCCCCATTCGCCTTCAAGCAGGTCGATACCGTGCACTTTGTCAGCAGAGACATTGGAGATATGGTGGGTTCTTTTGTGAAATATTTCATGGAACTTTAAAGCTGAAGCTCTGATATGTACATCAGTTTCAAGCCTTCCAAAGCGACCCATGGAGCTTTGATTTTTGGATTATGAATGATTAGAAGGAGATCTAAGACAAGAAAGGTAGGCACTGCCAAATATGTCTTTTTTGGACTCATTTTATAGAGAGGGCTTTACTCTCACATGTGGGATTTCACATTTCTGTCCACTTATGTCATTTTGAATTTAAATCAAATAATGTTTTTAATTATTTCAACCTCCAAATAACTCTATATAAATTTGGTAAGTTTTGACCTTTGATTGAAGCATACTAAAATGAACCATCAAGATAGAATGAAATACTCTCAAAATACACTTTATACTAAAATACTTCAATCACAAGAAAAAAATTATATATCATATGTCAACAATGTACTTATAATATAATACATAACTATTTCTAACCGTTTATTAACCTTTCAATACATGATTGTCACATTCTATGGTTTCACTATGAGGCCGACGATAATACGTAACGAGCCAAAGTGGATAATATCTGTTAGCAGTAGACTTGAACTATAATAAATGGTATAAGAGCCAGACACCAGGCAGTGTGCCAGCGAGGACGCTAGGGGTGGATTGTGAAATCCCACATTGGTTGTGTAACGGCCTAGGTAAAGGTTTCCACACCCTTATAAAGGTGTTTTGTTCTCCTCCCCAACCAATGTGGGATATCACAGGTTGGAAAGGGAACGAAACATTTCTTGCAAGAGTGTAAAAGCCTCTCCCTAACAAACGTGTATTAAAATTGTGAGGCTGACATCGATAAATAATGAATTTAAGCGAACAACGTCTGCTAACGGTGAACTTAGGCTGTTATAGTTATCATTTAAGTTGTATTGATTGAATTTTTTGAGTCATCCAAATACCATTATTTAAAAATAGTTTGAATAACATATTCATAATTCATCATTTACAAATATGGTAACGATTATTTAGAAATAATTTAAAATATTATCGATCACATAATTCACAATGACACAATTAAATAGCATTATATGATAACAATTATTTTGCCTCTACTTTAATTAGAATTGTAAAATTCAAAGGGGGATAGAAATGTAAGTTCACACTCATTTTGATTATTTTTTTTTTCTTTTCAATTTAATACGATCCAAAAATCCAAAATTATTAGGATGGAACAATATGTGGTTGATATATAAGAAATCCATGTTGATATATAAGAAATCCATGCTCAAATAATAATCTAAGTCATATACTATATGAATAAGATTGGATGTCTCTTCATACCAATATTAATATGACATATTTTGTAATTGTTACAAATGATTTGATTCATGTGGGGTATCTCATACAATGAGTTTGTAAAAAGGCTAAACTACAAAATTTTTAATCTCTCTTTATAAATTTGTTGATTGAAAAAATTAATAGTTATGAGCGTTTTTCATGAATGAGAATAATTTTTAGTCCAAGAGTGATTTAATTTATGGTTGATCATAAATAAATTGTTCATTAGACACCGATCCAACCTATCATGTCCAAAGAACAAGATCATCTGTAACGACCCGCTTTTCGTGGACTCGAGCCACGGATCGTTACTCAAGGATGTAGAAATAAGAAAAGTGCGTAAAATTTAAAACCTTTGAACACATGCATGCAATTTGAAAATTTATTAAATAGTAATGAAAATTTTGTTTTTACAAAGAAAAGAGAAAAGACCACTAAGATATAACATTGTTCCATCGAACTATTTAAATGACATGAAAGGCCGGATTTAAAGGTAAGTACAAAGAAATTCCAGACTCAAATGTGATGGATTCTCTATAGCCAACAGCCCCGTGTCCCTCTGCCTCGACCGCTACATAAATCTCCACGTGAAAAGAAAGTTGGAGTAGTAGGGATGAGTATATAAAATATACTCAGTAAGCAGGTTGCTGATAGTTCATATTTCGTTATTAAGTCTTATTAATTTTGTTCATATGTTCGGTATCTTATTCTCCTATTGGGATTTGTTCTCCCGTATAGGCTTCTTCCTAGGCTACACCCTAAGATTTCTCATTCTACTTTTTCTTGGTTCATGGTCCTATGGACCTCCCACCCTCATAATATTCTTAGGTTCTCTAGGTCTCCTGGTTAGTCGTTTCTACTAGTCTCTCATCATTGTCATCATGTCTCAAAGACCTCGAGGTGCGACTTCGGTATAAATCTCATAGTGTTCATGCATGTTAAGGCTCGACCAACTCTAAGGTGCAATTGTAGACCCCTACCGCTCGTGATAGGTTCACCAAAAGGAGCTAACTGGCAAACTTACTAATAGTCCCCACGGGGCACAAATCATAAAACATCTAGTGCCAGCTCTATGGTTATCCGGACCCCTGAGAATTGAGTCAGGTTTAGATGAGGGGCTAGTTGGCGAA